GTCTATCTGTGGATAACCCCCAGGGAAGGAGGACACTTGCTGCTGGCTTTGCAGGCAGCTCTGAGTGTGGTATTCACTCACTATACATGGGACAGCGTGTCCTTCTGCCTGCACCTGTTTCCATCAGTGAGAATGCCCGGGTCTCTGCTGACTCAGAAGTCTTAGAGCCAGGCTCTGGGGCTCATGCCTGTGATGCTAGCACTTCAGAAGGCTGAGGCAGGGGGATCACTTGAGCCCAGGCGTTGCAGGCCAGCCTAAGCAACATAGCCAGACCCCAGTCTCTACCAAAAAGAATGAAAAATTAGCCAAGCTTGGTGACACAAGCCTGTAGTCCCAGCTGCTTGAGAGGCTGAGTTGGGAGGATGGCTTGACCCCAGGAGGCCGAGACTTTGGTGAGCTGCGGTTGCACCACTGCACTCCAGCCCAGGCAACAGAGTGAGTCCAGCCTGAAAAAAAAGAGTTCTTAATCTTTTTGGGTCAGAAGCTGAGAAGCACAGACCCACTATCAAGGACAAAAAGCGCTCACCTAATCATTCTAGAGCACATCAACAATTTGCATTCAAGTTGCCCTCAATTTCAGGGGGTCTTTGGAGCCCCAGAAACCCATCCACAAAGCCCTCTAGGATAATGGCTCTCAGGTAGCGGTGTTGTGGTGATTATTTTGCCTAAACACCACACATGATAACATGTTGGCTGCATTGGGAGTGGGCAGGACAAGTGCAGGGTGAACAGCTGCTGGCCAGAGCCCATGGAGCCGAGTCAGTCTTGCCTGGGCCACTGGCCTAACCGGTCTTTGTTGCAAAGTGGATGCAGGAGAGGGATTTCTCCTTCCCCAGATGCTGCCTGGCGCCTTGGCTGGGTTTCACAGAAGGAGATTGGGACCGCGAGGCAAAAGGAGACTGAGCGTGATGTCTGGTTCTCTCAGTATTCACTACTTGAGGTGACTGCTCAGGAATGCCTCCTCTCCCCCAGGGAGGACCCCATGCGTGTGGTCAGAGGCTGGCTGGGAAGGTGGGCGAGGCCAGGCCTGGGAGTGCTGGGGCCGCCACTCCCCAGTCCCCTGGCCTGGCTGCCTTTTCGATTGGTGATTGGTCGAGTGGTCGATTGGTCATGGAGGGAAGGTGAGAAATCGAATGACTCATTATTCTTGCCATTAGTCACAGCCTTGAGGCAAGTGACCCCCTGCAGGACTTGTGCCACCTGCTGCTTCTCTCCCCACTCTGAATGGGAAGAGCAACCCCAGGAAATGATCACCACTTTCCCACAGGCACAGAGAGACTGAGACCCTGTGTATCCCAGGGCCACACAAGACCTCCAGGGACCAGGGGGACTGATCATGGAGAGGAGCATGTGGACACTTAGGCCAAAGATTTCCCCCTGTGAGCTGGGCGCGGTGGCTCAGGCTATAATCCCAGCACTTTGGGAGGCTGAGGTGGGGAGATCACCTGAGGACAGGAGTTCAAGACCAGCCTGGCCAACATGGTGAAACCCCGTATCTACTAAAAATATAAAATTAAGGCCAGGTGCAGTAGCTCACGCCTGTAATCCCAGCACTTTGGGAGGCCGAGGCAGATGGATCACAAGGTCAAGAGATCAAGACCATCCTTGCCAACATGGTAAAACCCCGTTTCTACTAAAAAAACAGAAAAATTAGCTGGGCATAGTGGCGCGTGCCTGTAGTCCCAGCTACTCGGGAGGCTGAGGCAGGAGAATTGCTTGAACCCAGGAGGTGGAGGTTGCAGTGAGCCAAGATTGTGCCACTGCACTCCAGCCTGGGGACTGAGGACAGAACAAGACCCTGTCTCAAAAAAAAAAAAAAAGAAAGAAAAAATTAGCCAGGCGTGGTGACAGGCACCTGTAATCCCTGCTACTCAGGAGGCTGAGGCAGGAGAATCACTTGAACCTGGGAGGTGGAGGTTGCAGTGAACTGAGATCATGCCACTGTACTCCAGACTAGGTGACAAAGCGAGACTCCATCTCAAAACAAAACAAGATTTTCCCCTGTGCCCCATACACTTGACAGGTGTGCGTACGCCCATACACACACGATAAGTGCGCATACATTTGTCTGCATGCACATGTGTACACAAATGCACAGATATACTGTGAAGGAAAGGTCATGTCTTGTAAGATAAAACCCTCCAACATCTGAGCAATGAAGAGCTCTGGCAGGAGGCCCTCAGGAGGAGAAGGGGTCCTGCCTGTTTCCCCAGCCCTGGGATGTTCTTGCTGAGCTGGTAACCCTCCAGATTGGCCCGGGGAAGCTCTCTCCCTTCTTGACTTCAGTCCAGGAGAGGACCAAACAAAACTCCTTCATAGATCGGCAGTGATTGCTGGGCAGTTACTGAATTATTTCCTAACTCTAGGTTTCATATTCTAACAGTACTAGTCAAAATAAACTTGACAGGAGCCAGGCCTGGTGGCTCAGGTGTGTAATTCCAGCACCTTGAGAGGCTGAGACACGCAGATTGCTTGAGTCCAGGAGTTCAGGACCAGGCTGGGCAACAGGGCAAAACCCTGTCTCTAGAAAAAAATATATTAAAAAAATTAGTTGGGCATGGTGGTGCACGCCTGTAGTCTCAGCTACTTGGGAGGCTGAGGTGGGAGAATCACTTGTGCCACAGAGGATGGGACTGTTATGAGCCGAGATTGTGCCACTGCACTGCAGCGTGGGTGTCAGAGTGGGTCCCTGTCTCAAAAAAAAAAAACAAAACAAAACTTGACGGACCTCAATTTCCCTGTTTCTTCCTTCCTTCCTTCCTTCCTTTTTCTTTCTTTCTTTCTTTCTTTTTCTTTCTTTTCTTTCTCTCTTTCTCTTTCTCTCTTTCTTTCTCTTTCTTTCTTTCTTCTTTTTTTTTGAGACAGAATCTTGCTCTGCCAGGCTGGAGTTTAGTGGTGCAATCTCAGCTCACTGCAGCCTCCGCCTCCCAGGTTCAAGTGATTCTCCTGCTTCAGTCTCCCGAGTAGCTGGGATTACAGGTGCCAGCCACCACGCCTGGCTAATTTTTGTATTTTTAGTAGAGATGGGGTTTCACCATGTTGGCCAAGATGGTCTTGATCTCTTGACCTCATGATCCACATGCCTTGGCCTCCCAAAGTGCTGGGATTACAAGTGTGAGCCACTGGACATGGCCACTTTCCCTGTTTCTAAGAGAGGAGTGTCTCCACCCACTTCTGGGGCAGCCTTGGATCCTCTCTCCAGGGCATCCTCTTCCTCCCCCTGTCAGGGATCCTGCAAAAACCCAGCTCTTGGAGGTTCGCTGTAGAATTGTATCTGAACAGACAGGGTGAGGAGGCAGGAACTGACCCAGACGCAGTACCTCCTGAGAGCCAGACCCCGTGTGAGAGAGTTCACATCCTCTGTCTCATGTAACTTCTCACAGTAGCCCTCAGAAGTCTTCCCATTTCGGCTGGGCTTGGTGGCTTACGCGTGTAATCCCAGCACTTTGGGAGGCCGAAGCGGGTGAATCACGTGCAGTCAGGAGTTCAAGACTGACCTGGCCAACATGGTAAAACCCTGTCTCTACAAAAATAAAAAAATTAGCTGGGCGTGGTGGTGTGCGGCTGTAACCCCAGCTACTTGGGAGGCTGAGGCAGGAGAATCACTTGAACCCAAGAGGCGGAGGTTGCAGTGAGCTGAGATAGCGCCACTGCACTCCAGCCTGGGTGATGGAGCAAGACTCAGTCTTCATCAAAAAAAAAAAAAGTTGCCGAGCGCGGTGGCTCAAGCCTGTCATCCCAGCACTTTGGGAGGCCGAGGCGGGTGGATCATGAGGTCAAGAGATCGAGACCATCCTGGCCAACATGGTGAAACCCCATCTCTACTAATAAAAAATACAAAACATTAGCTGGGCATGGTGGCGCGTGCCTGTAATCCCAGCTACTGAGGAGGTTGAGGCAGGAGAATTGCCTGAACCCAGGAGGCGGAGGTTGCGGTGAGCCGAGATCGCGCCATTGCACTCCAGCCTGGGTAACAAGAGTGAAACTCCGTCTCAAAAAAAAAAAAAAAAGTTTTCCCATTTCACAGACAATAAAACAGTCTCAGAGCAAGTGCCCCTGCCAAGCTCAGACCCTGTTCTGTCTGACTCCCTGTCTCCGGCACAGCTCATTGTTTTCAGTCCATGTGAAAAAAGCACTCCTTCTCCCACGGTGCCCCTGCGACAAGCAGACACGCCTGGAGGTGGCAAAAGGGGCTCAGGTCAAGGTTCAGAGCCCTGGGTCCTCGTCCTAGTGACTCTGCCACTCTGTGCCTATGATGGATTTCTTCTCCTTTTTGGGCCTTTCCCTCCTCACCTGTAAAACTGTTAGCTTGGCCTCAATAACGTAGCAGCCCCTCCTCCTCCCACACACTCACTCTCATATTTTGAGAGTCTGTATGGGCCAAGGCAACTCCCCACCATCTCCAAGCCCTTCTTCCCTGCAGGGTCTGTGGAACACTGGGTCCAGGCAGAGACTAAGTGTAACCCTAAAACATGACTGAACAGAGGGAAGCTTTCCTAGCATGGAAGAGAGAAATCTCTCGCTCTCAGCTGCTGGGCTCATCAGTCCAGCGGCCGCCAGCGGGTCCAATCTCTACAGTGACATCATCAATATTTTATTGATGATGCATCACCCGTACCCTCCAGAAAGGATCCCGAGTCCACAGCTCCCCACATCCCCATCATGTGGGTGCTGTGCTTGTTGCCAGGGCTGGAGCCACTCATGCCGCCCTGAGCGGGGAGCTTTGGGCCTCATGGCCCCAGGGGTGATGTCGCATATGGGACGCCTGTGCACACCAGGCGAGGGAGAAGGACAGCTCGGGATGTCCAAGCTTTTCGTCCTGGGCAGGAGCGGGGGGTGGGGGGGAATTTCAGAGGAAGCCAGGATATCTCCCTGGCCTGCCCTTAGTTCTAACATGGGTCAGGGCTTGCCCTTACCCCTTGCCTCACTGCAGGTATGGGGCGGAGGAGCTTTTCTCCCCATCCTTACCAGGCTCAGATGCTGTTTTCCTTTGTGGCCAGGTGCGGTGGAGGCTTGCCTCTTGCATCAGCTGAGACGCCGTGCCGCTGGCTTCCTGCGCAGTGACAAGATGGCAGCCCTGTTCACCAAGGTGGGGAAGACGTGCCCTGTGGCCGGGGAGATTTGCCATAAAGTGCAGGAGCTGCAGCAGCAGGAAGATGGCAGGTGAGCCCCAGCTGCCCCTTCCCTCCTTCTGGCTCTTCCCACGTGGCAAGTGCTGCTTCCCAGGACAGCCTGTCTGGAAGCTGGCTTCCTGGGCCTGTTCCTTGTAGGACCTCTGGATGGAGGATCAGCCTGAGGGTGGGGGTTGCCTCCATGTGGGCACAAGGCTCTATACCCTCCTTCAGCTCCCGCCAGTCAGTTCTCTGTGCTTCCGTCTTGGGGCACCAAGCTCCCCTCCCGATACCACCATTCTGGGGTTTACCCCTAGACCACTGCAGTCCTGGAGCCCTCCCACCTTTGCAGGAAACCCTCAGGGGTCAGCCAGGAGGCCCTGCAGAGACAGGGCTCAGCCAGTGGGAAGACCCTGGCCCTCAGCCCTCAGGCCCTGAAACACATATGGGTACGCACGGCGCTCATCGAGAAAGTTCTGGACAAGGTTGTGCAATACCTGGCGGAAAATTGCAGGTGACTTCCCCGCTCCCCAAACAGCTCCTTCCTTGACCATCTCTGACTGTCCTTCAGCCCTGCCTTTAGGATGCTTGCCCATCCCTGATGGCCTGCAGGCACTTCCCCATCTCCCCGCCCCTTCCATGCCCCACAATGGACTTACCGTTTCTCTGAGACTGAGATGAATCTGGTCTTTGTGGGGACGTCCCTACCTGGTGAGCCTGACTGCCCTGGGTTGAGTCCTGGAGACCTGGCAGTCACCCTGTCTATCTCCCGGCAGCAAGTACTACGAGAAGGAGGCATTGCTGGCAGACCCTGTGTTTGGCCCGATCCTGGCCTCTCTTCTAGGTGAGCCCGAAAGCACAGGGGCCTGTGCCAGGCCCATGGTGGGGGTTTGGGGCAAAAAGTGAGGGAGCACCGTCGGAGCTGGCTGTACCTGCCCCCACAGTGGGACCCTGTGCCTTGGAATACACGAAGCTCAAGACAGCTGATCACTACTGGACTGACCCCTCTGCTGATGAGCTGGTCCAGAGGCACCGCATCCGGGGTCCGCCCACTCGCCAGGACTCCCCTGCAAAGCGCCCAGCCCTAGGGGTAGGTGCCCCTTCCCACGCCTTGCACTCATCTGGGCTATGCCCATGGGCCTGTAGGGACAGGAAACCAGCCTCTCTACAGGACAGGCCTTGGAGATGCCCCAAGGTAGTGGCCTCCTCAAAAGAGCCTTCACCCCACAATAAAACAAGAGCAATGCCAGGAGCCCCTGCTGGTCCGTGGCTAGAGAGCAGAGGGGGTCAGGGAGCTAACTGGGAGCAGGAAGGACCCTGGGGTCAGCCGGAGAGGGTCGGCATGGAAGCCTGAGGGTTCTCGAGCCCCAAGGCCCATTTCCCAAGGCTGGAGGCTGAGCCCAGGCCTTCCACACAGATCCGGAAGCGGCACTCAAGTGGCAGTGCGCCAGAGGACAGGCTGGCTGCCTGCGCCCGCGAGTGTGTGGAGTCCCTGCACCAGAACTCCAGGACGCGCCTGCTCTACGGCAAGAACCACGTGCTGGTGCAGCCGGTAGGATGCTCAATCCCAGCACCTCCCTCAGGCTCCCTCTTCCGAAGGCCCCAGAACTAGAGCTCAGTCCCAGCACCCCTGCCCCAGCCTCCCTCTTCCGAAGGTTCCAGAACTAGAGCTCAATCCCAGCACCCCTGCCCCAGCCTCCCTCTTCCGAAGGTTCCAGAACTAGAGCTCAGTCCCAGCACCCCTGCCCCAGCCTCCCTCTTCCGAAGGTTCCAGAACTAGAGCTCAGTCCCAGCACCCCTGCCCCAGGTTTCCTCTTCCGAAGGTTCCAGAACTAGAGCTCAGTCCCAGCACCCCTGCCCCAGCCTTCCTCTTCCGAAGGTTCCAGAACTAGAGCTCAGTCCCAGCACCCCTGCCCCAGGCTACCTCTTCCGAAGGTTCGAGAACTAGACAACTGGAGCCTCTAGGCCATGGCTGCTTCTTTCCTGAGGAGCTGGACAAGAGAGAAATAGAATGGCCCCAGCCTCCCCACTCCCTGCCTCACGTGACTTATGCCTGGCCCTGAGGGGCACGGCCAGGAATGGCAGCCAGCAGACGAGGCGAATCCCCAGCTTGGGTATGGCTGGCCTGGAATGGACCTGGCATCCAGGAGGCTGGCAGGAGAGAGCCAGTGGCCCCAGGTTGAGCAAGGGAAGGACGTGCCCAGATCTGCATGGGTCCTGTTTCCCCGTGCTCCTGCCCAGCCCCTAGTCCAGGACCCCATGACTAGCCTAGCTGGGCCTCCCCTCCTCCCAGCAGGAGCTCATTTTTCACAGGCCATCCCTCAGAGCCTCTCAGCCCTTCATCACCTGTGTCCTCCGCTGTCTCCCGCTATAGAAGGAGGACATGGAGGCGGTCCCTGGCTACCTCTCCCTGCACCAGTCTGCAGACAGCCTGACTCTGAAGTGGACCCCCAACCAGCTCATGAACGGGACCCTGGGGGACTCCGAGCTGGAAAAGAGGTGGGGGCTTTGGGACCTGCTCCCAGGAGCGAGGGCAGGGAGTGGGCATCCCTCTCAGGCAGAGGGATGGAGAAAGACCCTTGCTCCAGGAGGCCAACCTCACTCTCTGTCTGGATGCCAAGATAGCAGGGAGCAGCTGCCTGTTGTGATTGCCAAGCTCTCTAGGACAGAGCCAAGCTTGGGCATGAAGAGGTGTGTCTGAGCCAAGCTCTCAGTGGCTGAGACCGACAGCTGTCCCTGTGCCAAGCGGGCTGCATGAATCTCAGGGACATGGCTGGCTGGGCCCACTTCTTCCTATCCTCAGGGCAGTTTTATGCAGTGGTAGGACCAGGAGATAAGGAAGGAAGGAAGGGAGGATGGCAGGTCTTTGGACATGGTGACACCAGTCTGGTTCCTTCCTAGCGTTTACTGGGACTATGCCCTGGTGGTGCCCTTCAGCCAGGTCGTGTGCATCCACTGCCATCAGCAAAGTAAGCCTGCCTTGTCCCCGACTCGGGCGGGAAGAGGGGCTGCCTTCTCCCAGCCGCTCTGTGCATGGGGCCATTAAAACTTCTTATCCTCCCATCCTGTTCATGGGGCTCCCAGGCCATGCTGTAGCCCAGCCATCTGCCTCCTACCCAGTTTGTGGGCGCTGGCCAGCAGGCTATGATGACCACCAGAGAGGGCCTCAGCCTCCCTCTCCTGCCTTCACCCCCAGAGAGTGGTGGCACGCTTGTGCTGGTGAGCCAGGATGGCATCCAGAGGCCGCCACTGCACTTCCCACAGGGAGGACACCTGCTGTCCTTTCTGTCCTGTCTGGAGAATGGGCTGCTGCCTCGGGGACAGCTAGAGCCCCCGCTGTGGACCCAGCAGGGGAAGGTAACTCAGTGGGAGGCTTTGGGGGAAGGACTGTGTGTGGGGTGCTCTGCCCGCCTCCCCTCCTTCGCCATGTGGATTTCTGAGGAACAGCCTGGCGTGGAACCCTGGCTGAGATTCTGCCCTACACAGGCTGACCCCCTCCCCTTCCCTCCACAGGGGAAGGTGTTTCCCAAGCTTCGTAAGCGAAGCAGCCTGCGCTCAGTGGATGTGGAGGAGATGGGCACTGGGCGGGCCACCGACTATGTGTTCCGGATCGTCTACCCTGGCCACAGGCACGAGCACAGTGAGTGTCCCAACTTCATCCTAGGGAGAGAGGAAGATGCTCAGGGAGGCGGGGGAGCGCAGCGTCACCCAGGAGGGCAGCAGGCAGGGTCCACTGACCAGGCCCAGCTAACCCAAGAGGCTCCCCGCTTATCTCTTCCCTGGACCTTTGACCCACAGACACTGCCTTTACAAAGGTGCGTCTCTTCTACCCAGCTGTCCTCCCCACTTCTCCACTCCAGGACTCTTGGCTCAGCAGGCCTAGGTATCACTACTTAGGTATCCTTTCAGACCCTGCCCAGGGCAAAACTCAGGGAGAAACTAGAAGTAGAAGATGGGGAACCTCAGTGCTCCTCACCTGCTCCCCGACCCCCATGAGACAGCCAGGGATGGGATCAGTGCTTCCTTTTGGATGGTGGAAACTGTCCACTGATCCCCTGAAGCCAGAGCCCTCCTGAAACCAGCTACTGATGAGCGTAGGCTGAAGCAGCAGGTCACGTCGCAGACAGACTGGAGGCTGCCTGGGGACTTTGGGGGCTGGCAGGTATAAAGGTGGCTTGGCCCTGGTGGGTCCTGCCCCGCCCTGGACACACACCCCTGGGCCCAGGGAGTCTGTCTATCTGCGTATCTACCAACACCAAAGTTCCCTTTCTGGTCAGAGTGCTGCTGCTACCTGTAGGTTTCTCTGGGCCAGACTTGCTTTTCTTACAGATGAACGTCAGGGAGTTTGCCAGCCCAGTGTTTATTGTCAGCCAGACCACCCGCTCCTCCCTGAATTTCCTAACTTGTGCCGAAAAGTTGTCAACAAATTGTCTCTGTATTAGGGACCACACTGCACACTCAGCCACCTCGCAGCCAGCTCCGCCAGGCTCCGAGGCTCATGGCAGGGATTCCCTCCCCCCAGACACACCTGGCAGGGGATGCATCTTTGAGGCTTAATCTCAGGCTGGTGTTCGGTTTAGCCTCTCCCATCTCTGCCTCCCCACTTCAGTCTTTGGTATTTTCTGATTCTGGTCACTTCAAGGACCACTTCCCTAAGGGCAAGCCAGGGCACCAAGAAGCAGAGGCCATCAAGCGACTCAGGCTCCTTGAGGACAGCCCTGAGAAAACCCTTTCCTTTTCCTGGGAGGGGAAAAGGTGGAATTTAGAGTCTGAAGCAAGGGATTTGGAGCAATCTTCAGATTTGGTCCAGCCTGACAGGAGCTAAAGAACGTCAGGACCCATTTGCCCGCTGTCATGCCCAGCCTTTGCTAGGGCCAACCACCTCCCAAGCTGCCAGCCTGTCCCAGACAGCCCCCATCTTTCACATCCCCATCCGTTCTCTCTCTTCCGTTCTTCTAGAGAGGTGCCTCCAAAGAGTGGGGCTCTGCAGCTGCCCCAGCCCCTCCCCTCCTTCCACATTCTCCCAAGAAAATCACCCAAAGAGCTGTCTGGTCCCCTCCCTTCCCCTCTTCTGCACCCTGCAGATTCAAGACGACCCGGCCTCCACTCCACTCACCTTCAGGAGGGAGTCCCTCCTGCCAGGGATGAGGGTCCTCATGCCTCTGCCTCTCGCTATTCTCTTTGAGCAGTCACTATTAACTACCACCACCTAGCGGCCAGCCGCGCGGCCTCGGTGGACGATGATGAGGAAGAGGAGGATAAACTGCACTCGATGCTCTCAATGATCTGCTCGCGGAACCTCACAGCTCCCAATCCGATGAAAGGTTTTTATCCCTCCCCCTCCCTGACCCACCTCGTCCCCCGCCCTCCCTCCCGGGCCCACCTGCCACCCACCGCAGGGGCTCGAACGGCAGTGTTGGCATTAGGGGACTTACACCTAGGGCACTTCCTTTCCAGCAGGTGGCAGATCAGGGAGGGCCGGGAGAAGAAGGGCTGGCCCAGGGCAGGTGGCTTCAGGCTTCGAGGAGGATGTGCTCATAGGAAGGTCTCATTAGCTCATTGCCCCCTGGGAATCCTGAATGGCACTTGGAGCCTTTTCCTGCTCTGGGGGTCAGACCAGCAAATGCAACAGAGGCCCCTTCCTTTCTCTCTGCTGATTGGGAAGACCAGCCTCTGGGCCTGGCACTTCTGACTCCTGACTTAACAGAATCAGGACGGAGGCATCGGGTCCTTCCTGGGGCAGGGGCAGGTCATGTGGACAGTGAGGGCTGCCATGGGACGAGCCCCAGGGCTCAGTTTCCCCAGGAGGCCTGCGGCCCCCAGCAGGCATGAAATCTAGAAGTAGCTGCAGCACGATGTCCGGGAAGGAGCCGGGCTCACGGCCTGGTGACATGAATTGTCGCCCAGCTCTGCCCCGTTCCCTGTATGGTTTCCAGCAAGTTTCTTGCTCTGCCAGAGCTCCGCCTCCTCGCCTGGGCCAGGGATATAAGACAGATGTGTTCCCGCCCCCATGAGCCTCAGGGTCCACGAATGGAGAGTCCCCGTTGTTGGAGGTGACAGTGCAGTGCCCTCGGACCCCCGGGGTTCCTCTGCCCACCACCCATCTTTCCTAGCACAGAGCTGGCTTGGTAGGGAGGGAGCCCCACTCTTCAGCAAGCAGTCAGCTGGGTAACCTGTGAGGGCTGGGCTAGGTGCTCAAGGAAGGGTTGGCTAGGGAGAGGCTGAGGCCAGTTCTCCCAGAGATGGGGGAGCTTTCCCATTCCCACCCACTCCTATGCCACAAAATCAGTTGCTTCTCCCTTTCCCCCACCTGCAGAGGATGTCCTCAGAATATGCCACACTCCCTGATGCTTCCACAGAGTTCTGCCAGGAAGCCCAGCACTAATGAGTCTCCGGGCAGGCAGGGCGACCCGGTCTGTGCTTAGAACACACCCAGCACACCCTCCGCACAAGCCTGCCGGCTGCCTGCCCTCACACCCGCTCCCTCCCCATCCTTCCAGTATGAGCCTGTAGGCCAGGCCAGGCCTGGGCGGGGGCATCCCACTTCTGTGTTTATTGCCCTTGCCAGTCGGTTCCTTGCAAAGCCGGACCTGGGGGTGTTGCTTATTTCCAGTTAGCTGACCGAGCAGAGTGGGGAGGCTGAGGTCTAAGGAGATCCAAGGAGCCACTTCTTATCCCATGAACTGGCAGTCAGGCTCGAGGCTGGAGGGGCCTACCAGAACCCTTGGCAGACTTGGTGATAGAAAGCCTGTCCCTGACTAGTCTTGGGACTGAGGCCTCTGGGATCAGAGAAACTTCCAGGCTCACTTCCAACAGTCCAGAAGCCTCCAGGCTTATCCGTGCATCCCCTCAAGGAACTCGGGCTAGGCCAACCAGTGTGCAGCTTCTGGGCCCCTAATACTCGGGAAAGGAGAGGCGAAGAGCAGAATCAGCAGGTGTGGGGAGCAGGCCCACCTCCACTCAGTCCATAATGACAACACTGTTGAGTCCGTTCTGCCAGCTGGGGCTTTCCAGGCCTGCAACATGCTTGACTTGTGCATGTGAATCAGTGGCGGGGTGTCCAGACTTCCTCTCCCTCTTCCTCTCCCCTTCCTCTTCCTGCTGCCTCTCCACAGAGCAGAGATGCTATTCACTCTAATTCTGCTCCAGGCCAGGCACCTTTCACTCGGAATCTTAGGGGCTGTGGGGTTCGCCCACCCTGATTTCTTGCTTTACACTTTCCTCATGCTCAGAGGAGAGAGTCAGAGTCAACGCTGACCCAGCAGAGCCCCCGTCCAGCCTGCACCCTCTCCCAGTCGCTCAGTAGCTCCAGCTGCTGCGCTGGGCTTTCACAGTGTTCAAACGCTGGCGGCTTCAGCTCCTTCCTGGAGAATTAAGGTGAAGAGCATTGACCCAGGACTTGCCTTGGCTGGGCCTGCCTTCTGGGCATGAGCTGCTTTCCTTTTTGCCCACCCACCCTCACCCCTGTTGCCCTCCCTGCCTGCCCGCCTGTTGCCTGCTGCCTGCCTGGCTGGGCCTCTTCCTACCCTGGCTCCTCCCAGGACTGCCCTCCTGTCTCCTGCCTGCTGAGGGCTGAGCTGGGCTCCCGCCTCACCCCACCTGCACTCACCCCTTCCCTCCTTCCAGAGTCTCAGGCATGGCTTGCAACTCCCTCACTCCCAGAGCCGCAGCCCCTCCTCACTAAATGTGTTCCCTTAATTTGCCTCTTGGCGGAGCTGAAGGGCCAGATACCTGCAAAGATCCCAGCCGCAGGTCTGGGAAGAGAGCCGCAGCCCAGACAGGGCACCCGCTGAGGGGACTGGAAGGGGCTCAGGCCAGCCCTCCCCACCAAGGCACACCCAGAGCTGGAGTCTGGCTGCCACCAAAGCCAGGCCCACACCTGCTCCAGGCCACGGGGGGAGCTAGCCGAGAAAACCGCTGCTGGCAGGACTCTGCTCAGCACACACGGCTCTCCCTCCCCGTCCATCCAACTCTTCTCCACTCTCTCCCTCCCTCCTGGCATCAGCTTCGAGTCCTTCCATTTCCTCTCTCACTTTGCCCATCTCTGTGGCTCACTGGGCCTGCCAGCTTCCCCTTCAGCAATGCCCTGCCCCACTTGGGCCCTGGAAGCTCTCAAGGGTCTTGGGTTCTGATTCAGGCCGCCAGGGCTGGCTGAGCAGGCGTCTGCTGGCAGTGTAGCTGTGTCCAAGGAGTCATCTTCTGAGGCTGTACCAAGGCCCCTTCTTCTTTGACTGGGACATTGGACGGTGGCCTCTGTGCCCAGCCCCACCCCATCCCCCAGTGGCCTAGCAGCCCCAAAATCGTGCGTGTCCTCCCAGCTCTCACTGTGTTTTCGGGAGGCCACCATACTAAGCGCTCTCAGGCTAGGCAAGGGCGGAGCAGAACTCAGAGAGGGCCCGTGTGAGCTGGCAGCCATCTGCCTGGGGTGCCTGGCCTGAACACGGGGCACTGTTCATCCGTAGCCACTGGCCACCAGATGTAGACTCCCTCAGAAGAGCCAGGCCTACAGAGTAGGCTGCTCCGAGATTCCTTGGGGGCTTTGGACAGTGGGGACTCCCCTGGAGGGGAGGGTTCAGAGTTTGAAGCATTCTAAACACCTCCTTGGGCATCTCAGAGTTTGCCAAGAGGACCAGGCTGAATCCTTGAAGGCTGAGCTAGCTGGTGGCATTTTAGGGAGCTCAGGTCTTTCTCGTTCCTTCTCTTTCTTTCCCTTCCCTCTAGAAAAGCAAGTGTTTGCTGGTCGCAAGATATAGGTAGCCACGGTCATCCAAGACTCAGTCCAAGTGTCTCAGCACACACAGAAAGACGCCTCGCCACCCTCCCCAGGCTTGCTGGAGGCTAGGCAGCGTCAGGCGCCCTCTCCCTGCCATTTCCATCTCTGGGCTCTGGACCAGGCAGGCCCCACCTCTGTGATTTTCCACCAGTGGGTGACTTCATGCTGCAGCTCTGGGCACAGAGGTGGGCATGCTGCAGGGGGCTTGGGAGAGAAGGCCTCTCGGGCCCTGACCTTGGCACCCCTCCTGCCCTCAGATGCCGGCGACATGATCGAGATGCAGGGCTTTGGGCCCAGCCCGCCAGCCTGGCACCTGGCGGCCCTGTGCAGTCAGGGCTCCCCCTGCCTCTCCTGCTTCTCCAGCAGCTCCCCGTACGCCACCCCCAGCCGCTGCAGCTGCGTCCCTGACCGGTGAGTGGGGGGGCTTGGCCCCAGCTTCCTGTCAGCACACCCAGCCACCTGTGTGTTCATCTGTCCTAGGGCCGTGTCACTTGCACGACAGGATGGCCTCTAGAGTTGGGCAGAGCTGGGTTCAGATTTCACTTTTGCGAGTGACTGAATTACTGTGAGCCTCTATGGTTCTGAGCCTCGGTTTCCTCATCTGAAAAATGGGGATGACACCCCTTGCTGCCTAAGGTGGCACAGAAGGAGGTAGAGCCCATGTGTACACCCAGCATTGAGACTGGCATGGCATCGCTGCTCAGTACTCGTGAGCTCCCCTTCCCAGTGTGCACATAGACATGAGAACACTCAGCAGCCGTCTGCCTGTGCCAGGGCAGCGAGGGAGTGGCTTTCACGGGAGGTGTTCTCTTTTACCCGTTACTTCGTCTTTTATGTATTAATCCTGAGGACCCTCTGGTGCTTCTCACCATTTTTCACATGAGGAAACGAAGATTCACACAGGTGAAGTTTGTTGACCAAGATCCCTGGGTGGGTGGTGCCAGGTGGGGGCCCCACCGCTGCTCTCCCCTGGGTGGCAGAGAGGGACCCCGCTGAGGCTGCTGTGCTGCGGCTTCTCCTCCCGGCACCTTCCCCCGTGGCTTACCTACCCCCTAGGCCAGACGTTCTCCCTTCTCTTCTCCCACCAGAGGGCCGTGGCCTCTCCCCGCTGAGCCCAGTTGTTCCCACAGGTTGCCCCTTAGGCTGCTGTGTGAAAGCATGAAGCGGCAGATCGTGTCCCGGGCCTTCTACGGCTGTGAGTGTG